TTAAAATTATTTACTCATATTTCTTTAGAAGGAAAGAAATCATTTATTTTTTCAATACATTTTAAAAAATAATAATAAATGAAAATAAAAAATAGATAAATCAAAATAATCAATAGATAAAAAAAGAAAGAGAAAAAAACTTAAATGACAGGTCGGGTTGTGCGCAGGTTGACGCTATAGGTTTTGGAATAGGTCAGACATCTAAATGGCATTGTTTTGCAACCACCTAGAAAATAACCAAATTTGTTTTTAATTTTAATTTTTCTTTCTGCCTCTCTCTTCTCCAAACCTTCTTTCCTATAAATTTTCATCAATGTTCCCATCGTAAGTAAAGAAAGAAAAGCAACGTAAGAAAAGAAATGGAGAAGAAAAATGATAGAAACATCGTGAATTAAGTGCACAATGTTATTGGAGGTAAGACTTGAGAAGTTTTTCAGGAGTGTTTCGCGTCATTCATGATTTACGTGGTTTGCACGATTTGATCACAGCCTAATCTGTACTTAATCAATGCCGACATGTTTCACCACTTTCTAACTTGCGGTCATGAGTTGACTCGTGCGTGTACCACAATTACCTATTTATTAGTCTTCGTGGAAAATTATTACTGGAAAGGAGCGGAATAAATACTTGACCATTCATGCTAGCTAATGTAATTTATACATAATAATTAACAAAATATTCCTTTGAACTATTAAAATGATGTCTTTTTTCTTAATATCATTCCGAGTCCTGTTGTTTCTCATACTTGTGTCGGTTCAATCATCTTATGTTTACCCAAATGAAATCATAAAATATTATTTTTATGAAATCATAAATATTATTTTTTATTTAATTAAACCTTATTTTACTTGAAAACTTAAGAAAATTTCAACATTTCACACGCTAAAACTAAAATTTCATTATTTTAATACAATAGGTTTATTGTTGATGTTAATTTACCACAATTCCTTTATTTAGGATTATTACACAATTTTAATATATAATTACAAGAAAACAAAACTTTTGAACATGAACATTTAACTAATAATAAGTACATTTAATATATCTGTCAAAAGTCACATTAAAACACTGACCTACCTCCAATTCAAAAAACAAAAAAAATAGAAAATAATTGATACAAATGGAAAAGAAGCTTTTAACCAAAAAGTTTTCAAAACCACAATATTACTATTCAGCAATACTGTGAAACTAAAACTCAAAAAAAAATTCTCTAATATCTCTTTCTTTTTATGTTAATTTCTGATTAAATTCTCTTCCATGTAACTAATATTTAAGTGATTTGCTTTTTCTTTAACCCAACAATTTTATATATATTAAAAGAATTTATTTTTAAGGATTTAACTAATTTTAATTTATTTATTAATAGGGTGTCACTAAATTAAAAAATATATTTATGTGTGTGTGTGTATATATATAATATATTAGAGTGCTTAAACATTTGAATACAAAAACAAGAAAGGAGATACGAAAAGCAAAATTATACATGTACCTAGAATTATAATCCAAATTGTTAGCAACTAATTAGCCACAAACTCCATGACCAACAATTCCCATGTCGATGCCAATGCCGCATAGATGATGACAAACATGAAAGAAGATCACTAGGATTTCTCCCCATAAGAACTTTCATTGCAGTTGTTAGAACCCCAGAAACTATAGACATCACAATTCTCATTTACCTTCATTATATAAGTCAATTATGTTTAAAAAACATTTATATCTAATCAATGTGCTCTAGTTAGCAAGAAACATATCTAATCAATACACTATTATGTAAGAATATTGAGAAGATTATTAAATACATGTTGAAAAGAAATAAAATTTTTAGTGAGGTATATGTATTTATAGTTAAATAAAATTTTGGGTGCAAATTAGGTTCTTTTGTGGAAAAAAAATTCATGGAAATTATTATTAAAATAAATAATATCCAATATATAAGTGAAAGCTACAAACTCCCCAAATAGGTTTACAAGATTTTCAGTTTATCACATATTCATAATTAAGTGATAAATGAACTTAATGAATTAACTTATATAATTATTAGAGAAAGATTATTTTTATTGGTCTAGTGATTGAAAAGGTTTAGAAAGACATGTAAGGTGGAGTTGAACCCCACCATCCCCATCTCCAATCTCCTAGCTAATGGATAAAAAAATTAACAAATTGATTAATTATGTAAATAGACATAATGAGCTTTAATAAACCCACTACTTGTGTTTTTGTATAAAATAATAATCCAAATATTAAATGGATATAAAACAACTTTAAAATAATTTATAAAATTAAAAATTACCATAGTAATCCTAAAATATGTATAGTTTTTGTGACAGCATATAGTCTACAATTACTGTAGTATAATAATTAATTATAATTCAGCATTGTATAAAGTTCATAAAAAAATTATGTAGAGCCCACACTTTTAAGTAATGGACTCTCACATAGTTATTTGTTTTAAGTGGCTAATTACAAAATTGCATTAAAAATTATAGGTGAAATTAGCCATTTTTTATAATTAATTTTGTTCAAAGGCGATTGTTTCTCCAATAAACAAAACAGGAATTCTCTTTACCATATTACTAAAAAAAGGAAAAACAGAGAAAAAGAAATAAAATAATTATAGATATTTATTGAGATTTAATGGTTGAGTCTCACAGAATGATTGTCAAAATGTGACTAGAATAAATTTGAAAACATGTTGGACTAAATTCAACTCAAAATTTTAGTTGGGAAAAAATATTTTGTATTTTATTGGCTATATATTATTATTGAAAGTTTTGGTTAAATTTAATTACATATAAACCCCGGCTATAATTAAATATTAAAAATGAAAAATATTTTGTGATGATAAGTCTTGAATTTTTCATATAAGCTTCCATCCTTGTATTATATCCAATTAAGTCCTTAAAAAATTATTTTGTCTAATTAAATCTTTAAAGTATAGTTTTGTTCCATGAAGCTCTTTTTTTAGATGAAAATTGCAAAAAAAAAAAAATGTTTCTTGCGAAATGAACAAATATGTCATAGTTCTTTCTATGAAGCCAACATCTACATAGCATACATATTTGAAAATAAAAAAGCTCTTTAAATGCTAATGAGGCCTACTATATTAGCCATTTGTTACATATATATACCACAAAAACAACAACTCAACTTAAATTTTTATATTTTGTAATTGGATATTGATTTAACAAAAATAATTTTTACCTTAAATTTTTATATTTGCAATGTGGACATTAATTTAATAAAGATAATTATTACTATTGATGTGGTAAAAATAACAATTTTAGTGATTTTATGCAAAATAAGATCTAATTAAATAAGAATAATGATTTATGCTTTCAATTGGATTAAAAAAATAAAGATAAAAGTTTATTTCAAATTTGAGAAAAGTACAACATTTTTTTAGCATATTAGTAAAAGAAAAATGGGCAAGTTAAAGGTATATACTTAAATCACCACTCAAATCCATTTCAAGTGTACTTAATACAATTTTTTTTTGGTATGAAGTACTTAATACGATTACAATTAAATTTTGAATGATTTAAAAGGCAGGGAATGATGAAAAGTTAGAAAGATGAAATTGTGAGAAATAATATGTACGAGTGTGTGTAAGAATAAATGATGAGTAAATAGTAAAATCAAAAGGTTATTGTGTGAAATAGTATTTATTGTAATTTGGTATACTCACCAATCGTATTTTTTGTTTGTTCAAATAAATAAAAAAGTGATATTAGAATTGCTTTAGCATTCACTTTCGAAAGTATTGTAGCAAATCCGTACTATAGTAGAATATTACAATTGATACTGAAAGTTAAAATTTTACATATAGTCATTAGTTATATTTTAGAAATAAGAAATCTTGAAATACAAATTGAGTGCTTAGCACAACTGTTCTATATCATAGCTAATTCACTACAAAAGCTTTATTATTAGAGTACTTGAACATGTTCAATACAAAGTAGAGAAAAAGAAATAGATTGAAAGCAAATACAAATACACGTGCCTAGAATTATTTTTCAAATTGCTAGCACCTTAATATTAGCCACTACAGACCCATGATCCCACAGTTCTCCCAATCAATGGAAGCGATTGACGACCAAGGGCATGCGCAACCTACTGCATAGTTGGTCGAAGTTGAGGATTGCCATTTAAGCATGCAAATGTTATCTTTGTAGTAGAGACAATATCCTTTGCAACTTGCTTTACTGGTGGTGAGAGATGTTGGTTTATCACATCTTTAGGTAATATTTGTTGGTTGTCATTTGGCATTGATGTTGGTGTTGATGCCAATGATGATGACAAAAACGAAATCAAATCACCAGGATGGCTCATCATAAGTATTTCCGTTCTTAGCACCCCTAAACTTGTAAACATCACATCTCTCTTCTATTTTCATTGTTTAGGCTAACTCTACGTGAAAAACCTCAATCTAATAATTATAATTTATTTAGGCACAAAAAACATGCTAGAAATAATTAAGAAGTATAAAGGTTAGAATATTATAATATTCACATACTGTTAGCATCCAATATCCTAAGTTTTATGGTTAGAAAAAGAAAGAGAGAGAGAGAAAAAAAAAACAACCATAGCGTGCATTCAATTTCAACCAAAATTAACGATTTACATGAAACTCAAAGAGTTTTGAATAGAAATATTATTATTTTTAAAAAAGAAGCCACAACCTAAAGATAAGATAAGGGATAGTAGATACTGTTGCCACCACTTAAAAATAGTTACATTAATCAACTAAGTTATCCGGATTCAAAAATATTAATATTTGATAAAAAGAAAATATTATTACTAGAAATAAATGGGTATTAAATTTTTATTATTAAGACTTTTATATGTTGAAATATATTATATTATCTAAACTTACTTCAAATTAAGAATTTAACCACTTGTCAATATTTCAAAATTAACATATAGTAGTAAAGAAATGATACCTGGAGCAATGTATCTAAAAGAGCCTGCAAATGTGGTCCAATTTGAGGAGTTAGGCTTTAAAGCTTAGCTGTGCCAAAATTTGAGACATGAGCCTCATATTCCAAATCCAAGAAAACATTATTACTGGAAATGTCTTGATGAATTATAGGTGGTGAATGCTCGTGATGCATATAAGATAAGGCATTGGCTACTCCTTTTACAACATTTAGCCTCTTCTTCCAATCCAATTCCATTGCCTCGTCCTTGTTGCTTAACACCATTTTCAAACTTCCTCTTTCTACAAACTCATAAACCAAAAATGAATTCTTTGGATATGAACAAAAGCCATACAACTTCACAATGTTACGATGCCTTATTTCTGATAAAGCATGAATCTCGCTTTCAAAGACTTTCAAGTTGTTGGAAATCATGCTATCTTCAGATTGGTGAAGTTTGTTCACAGCAACCACCTGACCAATGGGTAGCACAGCTTTATAAACATTTCCATCTCCTCCTGAACCAATACAATAATTGGAGTTGAAATCTTCAGTGACTTCAATAATGTTCTCATAGAGTATTCTTCCATTATATCCCCATACTTTGAAAATATCTCCAAGTTGTGCCTCCCCTGACTCAGATTTCTGGTGCGATTCTTTTGGCAAAGAATAAGGAAACTTCCAGCCATGATAAATAGCAAAAGCAAAATACCAAAGAGTGGAATCACAATTAAAATGATGAACCTGGTTCTTTTTCTATGACCCCTTTTGTTGCTAGGATAGGAATACAAGGCACTAATCCTATGGCATTACCACATAGGCCCTTATTGTTTCTTAAGGCATCAACTGAAGCCTCATGAAATGCCTTAATGTCAAGAATTGGGCCTTCCAATTGATAGTAAAAGATATTTACAACCATCAAGCTTTACAAATCGTTGAAAGAAATTGGGATAGAACCGTTAAGCATATTGTGAGAATGATCCCATATTTCTAAGATTTGTAATTTTCGAAGCTGTTGTGGTATCGCTCCAATAATTAAATTATGACTCAAATCTAGAATTTGAAGACCATATATGAAGCTATTGAAAATGGAATGCTTTCTCCAAGTTTGTTTTTGCTCAAATTCAAATTCAATAACTTTGAGCACTCTCCAAGTTGATAAGGAATCGTCCCACTTAAATTGTTTGATGCCAAGTTAAGATGCCGTAGATTTGAAAGAACTCCAATCTCGGGTGGAATTTTGTTTGAAAGCTGGTTACCACTTAGCAAACGACGGAACATCAATGTCAATGCACCCAATTCCTTGGGAATCTCACCTACAAGATGATTTGAAGAGAGATCGAGTTCCTCTAACTGAGTTGTACATTTCAACTTAGGTGGTGTCTTTCCAAAAATGTTGTTATTGGAGATTTGTGGCCATGTTAGATTATGGCATTGCCCCCACTTTGGAGAAAGTTCACCATAAAATCTGTTGTTGCTTAATGCAATATAATACAAATTCGGATACACACCAAAAGCTTCTGATATACTCTGTATAAACTTTTGCAGTTTTTCAAACTTGGAGGAATATGACCCGTTAAATTGTTGTTGATAATCAAAAGGTAAGCGAGTAGTCCACCGCGGCATACATTCTCAGGTTAAGTCCTAATCATTAGTATTGTTTGTCAATTGTTGTAAATTACATTGGCTAACTTGGCATGGCCAAGTATTTATGCAAAATACTAGAGTGTTTCAGTTGTCATAGCATTTAGATTTGGGGATCTATCGCTAGACATTGACTGGAAGGAGTCACTACCAATCTTTTTTATCTAGGTGCGATTGGTCACCTAAGGAATCTATCCTTTTAAGGAACACCCAAGCTTAAGGATCTCTAAAAAAATAGGTTCAGGTCTATTAACCAAAACAGGGTTCGAGAGTACGGTTACGTGTGAGGAAGGTTGTAGCACCCTCACAATATCCAAAGATGGTACCAGCTTAATTTTGTGTTATCCAATAAGTCTTAAAAATTTATCAAGTAATTAATTATAAGAAATTATTCTCAATTAACTCTAATACTTTTAGCAGAAAATTGAAAAAATTCTCTCACCTCAAGAGTATGCAAGGAAACTACTATTTCACTTGCAGAGGCTCTATCATCGATTATTTAACATTAAAGAAAATTCAAAAGGGAAAAAAATAAAATGAAAAAAAATGAATAATGATTCAGCTTTAGATATAAATCATTTTCTCTTCAAAAACTAATTGCTTTTGTACAAGGAAATTAATACTTTCAACTTTTCCCCCAAAATGTTTTTTCTTGAAATTTTAATTTCGAGGAAAATTTATACTTTCAACTTTTCCTAAAAAAAAAAACTTTTTTAGAAAATTATTTTCAAAGAAAATTGATACTTTCAACTTTTCCTCAAAAATTTTTTTTTTTTGAATTTTATTTAAAGAAAATCATATAAAAAAATAAAATAAAATAAGGAATACTAAATAATTCTAATATAATCAATAAATAATAATAATAAATAAATAAATAATAAACCTTTGGAACGGCTCGGCCCAAGACAAAAAAGACAGCTCGGCTCGGCTCCAGGGATTGGCTAGCACGTAGGTTAACGAATTGGGTCGCGATTGGGTCGGGTCAGCCCAAACAAAAACACGCAGATCTTGGTAATGTATTAACACTAAAACAACGTCGTTTTATGCAGGTATAAAAGGCAAAGAATGGGTTTTTTTCTTCAGATGCACCTTCCCCTTCTCTCTCTTCCCCTCAACTTTCTCCTTTTTCTCTCTACTCGAAGAACCAACCCAGAATCTGGTTGAATTTCCATCGAATTATGGAAAATAATGCTGGAAACTTCAAAGTTGGCCGAAAAACTCATCAGAAAATTCAAGGTTCGTTGAAAATTTCACCGGATTTTGGAAATTTTTTGGAAATTTTCCAAAAAAAAACTTTAAAAAAAATGAAAAAATCTTCTAAAAATCCTAAACTGCCTCTAAACACCTTTTGTTTCTGTTTCCTCTCTATTGTGTTTTTCTCCCTATCTATGTCTATTCTTTCCCGTATGTTCCAACACCCATTTATAGGAATTGATCAGAAGAGTTTCTGATCAATCCCAATTCCTTCTAGGATTAGGATTCATTCTTTGAATCCAATTCAAACTCTTTCAATCCCCTGATTCATGGTAGAACTTCCTTCTAGAACCAAAAATTATATCTATCAATAATAATTCAAACAAAATTTAGAACAGATAAACTCAAAAAAAAAAAAAGATAAATATACATTGATAATAAAAAATATATATTAATAAATAATAAAAACATATATATATTAATAGATAAATAAAAAAAGATTAATAGATAAATAATAATAAATATATATTTATAAATAGATAAAAATAAAAAATAAAAATAAAAATAAACAAATGGACTTACCCATTTGGACTAGGCCCGATTGATCCTGGCCTAGACCAAATTTAGTGTCTACATTAGTCACTATGAAACATCCACGTCTAATGAAAAAAATTATAAATACATATCTAATTTATTGTGATAGAATAAATTAATTGAATCAAATTTTAAATTTTCTCATAGATATTGGTTATTGATATTTTTATTTTTATTTTATAAAGTAAATAAAAGATGATTTTAGTTTAGTTAACTAGCACTTATTTTAATCAAAAGTAGAGGTTAAAAAAAATCTCATGATAATTAATTTAAATGAAAATTACCTGATACATCAATCAAATTGTAAACTTGATAAATGAATTTATAAGATTGCCACATATCATTAGGTCATAATTAAAAAAATAAGTACATATTTAGAGAAATTAACAAATAAAAAATTATCTAATGCAAATTTTTTAATTTTATAAAAAATTAAAAATTAACATGTATTTTATAATAATATATTTTTTAAAATTAATAAAATTTTAAAAGTCTATGGTCTCTACATATATCTATATAAATAATAATTGAATTATTAAATGAAGATACCAATGCTATAAACGTTCATAAATCAACAGTGAAGTCAATTTATAAAATAATAATTCTAAAATACGTGTAAATTTTTATTCATTTAATTGGCTCAAGCAAATCTTTTATCAAATATGGACTCTTATCGAAATCTTTTCGTCATCCATTTCTTATATGTTCATGGTACCAATTAAATTATAAGTAGAAAGATACGCAAGAATTGTCAACATTGTGGTGCAATTGAAAAGACTTAAATGAATTAAATGAAATAAATGAAATTTTATAAGTGAAGTTTTAAAATTATACACGTTTCAGTCTCAATTTTTAAAATTTTAATATCTATTTTATTTTTATTCAAATAAAAAATTAGATTTTTTTATCAAATTGGAATAAAATTGACATCTTTAGTGCAATGAGAATGATTTAGCATCAATTTAAATGGATAATAAGATTGATTTAGGTGAGATTAAAAATAGTAATGAGATTGCATACTATATCTGCTAGATTAAAATCAATTGTGAATACATTTAGTTCGATGCAAATAAGTGGTAAAAGTTGAATTATAGTTAGAAAAGAAATAATTATTAAGGATATTAAATTAAAATTTGTATGCAATAAAAATTTTAAAATATTTAATATTTATAAAATTAATAAATAATTGAAAATTCATTAAATTATTTTTATATCAAATAATAATTTTATTGATAAATAGTTAAAAACTAATAAAAATAATAATATACCAAATGATTTTTTCCTTAATTTTTTATTAATGATTTAGTTATCTATTTTTAGTTAAAATAATAATATAATATAATATAATACTAAATTTTATTTTTAGTTTATAATATTATATTTAGTTATTAATTTTTATATAATAATAAAATTTATAAAATAATCATTTTTAATTCATAATATAATAATTTTATTTATTTATAAGCTCATTATATAATAAAATTTTGCATTTTATTAAATTAAAAAATTATTTCATAATTTATTAATTAAAAATTAAAAAAAAAAGCAAAAATGTCAATCGCCACCACACCTTTTCTCCATCAATTGAGTTTAAGTATTCCATTGAAGCCACGTAAATGTAATCAGATCGTGCCTTCGTGATCCAAACGGTTAAGCACAGTGCAATAATGACACCAATTCATTTTGAATGAGGTTTTAGATGAACTTTTGTAAGTCAAATTTGTGATTTTTTTATTAAAAATATTAAATAAAAATTTATATTAAAATTTAAATTGATGAATTAAAAAAATCATGTTACATAATTTAAATTAAGCATCTAAAATAAAAGTGTAAAGGCATAAAATAAAGAAATTTTTGTAAGGCATCCATTTTAAAAATAATTGACCTTAAATAAAGAGTTTTTTTATAATAAAATAAATTATTATATTGTGTGGTATCAATAAAAACAACAATAGCAACTAGATAAAAAATATATAGTATGAATTGTATGACATAATTTTATAATAATTTGGTTAGAATTTTTAAATTATAACAATGATATGATTTATAATTGATTTTATGACATGGAAAATTATTATCAATTTCAATAAATGCAAAAAGATACATAAGTTGTTGTTACTAATGGAAAAACCAAAACAAAGTGCAACCTTACTATCATAACGTCTAGATCTAGGGATCTATAGCTAGACATTGACTTGAAGGAGTCGCCACCAATCATTTATTAGGTGTGATTGATCACCTAGGGAATCTATCCTTTTAAGGAACTCCTAAGCTTGACTATGGGTCTCTAAAAGAATAGGTTCAAGTCTACGAACTAGAATAGGGTTCGGGAGTTTGGTTACATATAGGGTAGGTTATAGCCCCCCACATGCCCATCCAAAGGATGGTACCATTTTATTTCGAATTTATCCTAAGGTTTAGAATCTTATGGCTTCAAATTTTTTGTTAAATATTGGAAACAATTTTTAAGATTCTCCATCAATCTGGTAGTACTCTCAAAAAAATTCTTCTTCACTTCAAGAGTATTCAAGAATCCCATTTGATTTCTTGAAGAGGCTCCATTGTCAGAAAAAGATTTATTTATTATTTTTTATTATTACCATTTTTGTTGAAAATAAATCTAATTATTTACCATTTAGGCCAAATTAGAAATATTTTTTCTTTTGAATTTCTAAAATTTCCACCATTTGAGTCTATTTAGAATTCTTTTTTTTTTCTTGGAAAGAAAATAATATGACAATTATTTTTATTGAAATTTCATCTAAATTATTCCACCATTTGGGTCAAATTTAGAGAAAATTTCTCACATAGAGATTTCTTAAAAATTTACCATTAGAATTTCTAAGAATCTCATCTTTAGATAATCATCAAATATTATCAATCCAAATTTTTATTTGGAAAAGAATACAATTACTTGTATTGAAATTTCATCTAAATCATTCCACCATTTGGGCCAAATTTAGAAGAAATTTCTCACCCAGAGATTTCTTAGGAATTTATCATTTGAAATTTCCAGATTTCGGTAGAATTTTCAAGCGAAGTTTGAATTTTCGGTAACTTTTTCGGCTTGTCGTTATGGTTTTGGGACCGCCAGATGTAAAAGAGTTTTAAAATTGAAGTAAATGGGAGAGTCGCCACCAATCTTTGTTAGGGTGTGATTGGCCACCGCCTTTGTCGCCGGTGGTCAAAAAATT